ACGCACTTTTTTTTCCTAAATTTGGTCTCAAAAACGTTACCTGCGTCTTATACGTGAAGGATACAGTCTTATTATACCTGAAGGTGATTGCATTCAATAATTGTTTATTTGGCTTTTACGAAACGTGAGAACTAAAAGAAACCACGCTATTGAAACTTTTTTCCCTTGTGTGTGGCCGTCTAAATAAGGGTGCGTCTTATATGCTGTAAAATACGGTAAGTTAAAAACTTTTTACTAGATATTCGTAAAAACATACAAAGAAAAATATCAAATTTATACTTACATTTTACCTGAAATCTTAAAGTTGGTATTTTCAAGAAATTTCACACAATTTGGATTTAAACAGACAGCTAAAAATTAAAATTTTCAGACTGGCATTTATTCAACTAATAGTAGTATATTGAACTACTAACTTACTTACGTTTAATTTAAACTAAAAAGAAATATACTAAAGCTTCCCAAGAGTGACAAAACATGATAAAAAGTAATGACAACCTATTCTCTTTCTTATATTTATTAGATTTTTCTGTGACACAGAACAGAATCTTCATTTTTATTACACTTTCCAGCTACACAACATCATGACATTTCAATTTTCATGAAGTTTATAATCTCGAAGGGAAATTACTAAAAAGTATCATCGCAAATTGTAGATACTCATCGGCACTCTTTCTTTTTTGGACATTTATTAATTTTCAGCGACGAAAATACTCGCAAATTGTAGATACTCATCGGCACTCTTTTTTTTTTTTTTTTTTTTGACATTTATTAATTTTCAGCGACGAAAATACTGTTCTCATGTAAATGCACTCAAAAACAAAGTGAGTATTCTTTTTGCAAAAATTCGTTATTTAAGATATTTATCTTTTGACAAGTACTAATAAAAGTTAATCAAATTATGATTTTTAAATCTTTGAGGAAAATTTATATCACAATTAATTAGCTCTATTTCTAGATTTTCTGAAAAGGTGCATTCATTTTTGGTAATGAATGTAATGTAAAACTAGACTACCAACCATTAAAATCGTAAATTTTGTCTTCAAATTCTTGTCATAATAATGCCAATTAATTTATGGGGCCTGCGGGCCACCAGTTTAACTTTGACACTGTTTTACTGAAAAAAATATATGAGATTAAAATTAATTTGAGATGTCCACAGTGATAGTTTTAATCAGGCAAAGTCGAAGCAGATGCAACATAGTGACATTAGACTACTTCCTGTTAACCCTCCCTATGAGGATCGCGTCAGCAAGAAGTTGCGCAAAGGGAATGAACTAGCCCTCTGTTTAACCCTGTGTTTAATTAATAAAAAAATTTATCATTCTAAAATGAGGAAAGGAATTGAAAATTTACATGAAAAGTAAGTTTGATTTTGTCATTCAGATTTTGTTTAGTTTCTGTGTTTGTTTGAATTAAAAATTAATTTTTAACCATTTCCTATGGAAGTAATTCTCTTAAATTCTTTGCTTATATACGTATTAGCAAAAGAATAATAATATAACATACTTTTGTCGAGAGCTCGCTCACAGACATGTATGTGTAAGGTTACCAAACTTGTTTTGCATTAATATTCGGTCATTGCGAATTCAGAAATTTTAGTTTTTCTAAAATTTAGTTGCATGACCCTTGTACAGGGTACCAACACACATTTTGAGAAGCCTTGCAATAAATCACTGTATAGATGATACCTATGACACCTAAAAATGTTGATTTATTGTTTTTTTGACCATTTGCAATCAGTAAATCACGATCCCAAAGTTGTCAAACTTTAATATCAGTTATTCACTGATTACTATAACAGTTATTCATTAGGATATATAAATGACTTAACCTTTTGAAGTTGAGGATATGAGTCCTGTAAGTTAAAAAGACAGGCGTTTTCGTCCCTTATGCTTTTCCCCTTTTAAGACCATTGCTGTTGTCAACAATGGCACTTTCAGGTAGTTTGATTCATCCTGAAAGAAAGGCTTTCCTTTATAAAAGGAAGAGAAATGTAGGGATTGTTGTCTAAATTGTTTAGATGGTTTTCCTTATGAAGGGATTATTTAAAGGTGTAAATGATTCCAAATCAGACTACTCAGTGTTACACAGAAGGAAATGTATACGTGCATATGTTGTATATATATAAAAAGAGAAAATGTTATTCCATTTCTCCATATTATAGCATGCTTTTATCTTACCAAATTAAGTGAAAATTCCTTTATAAAGTAATAACAAAAATTAATTCTATTATATTTTAAAGTTATGTTATAAAATTACTCCATATCTGTTATTGATATTTTGTTTTTTATTTACTTATTAGGTCTCCAGTCTCCATCTAATTTTTAAATGCATCTAAATTTTTTCATAGATTTCATGAACATATTTTCTTAAATTTACAAACATTCATGGTCTCGTAAACAAAGAAGCATCATGTAAATGTTGCAGTAAACTCAAATGTTATTTACTGTCATATTTCCTTGTACTGTTTAATTTGTTTTGCAGTATATTTTATTGAAATTATCCAAATTCCTTAAAGTTTTCTCAATGGAAGGAAAAGTTAAAAAAATAAAATATCATCACTGCATAAATGATTAAAAACTTAAACTGTATGGAAATCTTAAAATTTAAATTGCAGAAAAATTAAAATTTTAAGTCTAAATAAATATTAAAATTTTGCGTGAAAACTGACAATTTAAAATATGCAGTATTTAGTTCAAATATGACTTGTACTATGCATTGTTTGTATATTTTGCATTGCAAATTCTTTTTAGCAAAAAGCTTTCAAATCAGAAGGAGAAATTTGTGTGGAGTATATAGTTTTTGAGAATGGGAAGAATTTACAAGATAATTACAGATGAGGTTATCTTTGAATTCTGAAGCTGCAAGGATGAAAAGGGAATTATAAGGAAAACCAGATCCTTAACACAAAGGTCTTTGAAGAGATATGTGGTTAGACTCCAGGAACATCAAACTTGACAGTTCACCCTGTGTTTTCAGCTTGGAAAACTGGGGAAAAAGGCATGGCCAATAAAGTGGACATCCCCGTCCTTGCAGGGAATACCATGGCCATCCCATCCCCATAGGTTAAGAAAATTTGTTTGGCAGATGTACAGATGGCAGATTTAAATACGTAAAAGAAGCATAGTATGTGAAAAGAGCTACATTAACAATTAGACATTGATATCAAGTTGTTGAGATTTAAACATTGTCTTTTTCAGAACTGGTAAAGTTGTGCTGCAAAAAATAATATTTATTAAGCACTTTTTTGGAAGATATTGATGTATTCTTTTTACTAAGTATACCCATACTTGGAAGCAGCCTCTCACTAGTATGTTACTAGTTTGTGGTAAATCATTTTTAGGTATGCAGGGTAATTAGCTGCATTCATTTTCTACCAAATGAATAGTAATTTTTTATATAACTAGCTTGGCGAGTGATTTATTTAATTATTGAATAAAAATTGATTTCTTGTATATTTAGATATCCCAGATATTTGAAATATAGACTATTTTTCAGCATTTCTGAATGACCAGACACTTACTGTTTAAGTATTCTTTGAGAATTATAGTCAAATACAGCAGTCATTTAATCTTCCCATCATCAGGAACACTGCCCAGTTGCACTACTCGGGGGATAAGTATTACACATGCAAGAAAAGGGAAAGACAATGCACATACAGCCAAAGTGTTATATCTAACTCATACCATTCATTCCAGGATAACAGACAGTAAGCACTAAATATCATGTCATTCAGGGTGGCCAGGGGTTGGCTGTTTATATAAAACAATCCAACAAAGGATTTATTGATGGTCAGTGGTTTCATTATTTTTAATTTTAACTCTGTTAATAAGGATGTAACATTTTCGTTGAGAAAATTTTGACTATCAATTTAGAAATTTCTTTTCCTTTTTTTCCATTAATGAAAGTAAAATATTTTTACTTACTTCATTGTAACCTTGATCCTTTTTAGAAAAAAGATTTTTAAATCGTATATCCAAAATGCAGTGAACCCTTTAACAGGGAGCCATTACCTGTAGTACCAGGTGATTTCGGTTTTGGTCATTTTAAAGTTTTAAAGGCCGATTTTTATTTGAGTTATCAGACTACATTCACAATTTTTCATGAAAAAGTTTCAGATGTTTTTGGTTTCACAGTTTCTGCTTTTTGTGATCTATTTTCTATTGAATATTAGAAATTTTATCTGAAAGGGCTGTCTGTAGTATTTTTTCAAATAATCTTAAATAATGTAAGTCAAATAATCTTAAATTGTTGCTTCTTACTCATTCTGGTACTTGGACTGCTCCTTTTTATAAAATTAATTTGATATTCTGCTACTTAAGTATTCAATATGTCCTTCAGCTTTAAAGCACAACAATACTTTGACATCAGGTCAAAATATAAATGCCTTTCAAACTGAATTTTTATAAAGAATAGATGATATTCTGTAAATTGGTTCATAAAATTATTAAATTTCTGCTATAATTAGAAAACTGTAATTGTGAAAGTGGATTAAGTTTTAAAAAATACAAGATAGTTATTTTGGAATATTATTTAAAAAATACTTTAGGAATGACGCAAAGAAGTGTATCAGAAAAAAACAAATTTTGCAGTTTTTAGAATTCCCCCTCCCCCCACCTAGTGGCAGACACAAACCATCCACAGACATTGGCCATTACTAAAGTCAGAAGCAGTGGTAACTTTATTATGGAGGCACTTAATAGGTGGGCCACCTTTGCCTCCTATGATGGAACGGACAAACACACTATACCTTTTCCGGGATTCAAACCCAGACCCTTTGGTGTCGCAGTCGGCTCCGCTAACCACTACTCCGTCTGGGCAGCATTTTTAGAAATATATTGAAATGCATCCTAAGTGTTGAATTTCTGGTGAAACCCTTGTGGTCTGAATTATTTAGTAATGATTATTTATTTGCCTGTGAAAAAATGCACTTCATTGTTTAGATACTTATTCTGTATATCAACAGTAAAAGATTATTTAATACTTTTTATTTATTTCAGAACCTGGTAATACAGACGATAATTACTTGAAGACCAAACAACAGAGGCCTAACTACTTTGTTGCAGTTAGAATATCTGATCCAGAGGTAAAAAATAATAGAATAAAATGAAAAAATTAAGTTATAAATTTCCTAAATGTGTTATTGGAAACTTTTAGCCAGCTAAAAAGAAATATCTAAAAATATCTAAAATATCTGTTTCTTATTGATCTGAATATATTACTTGCAGTTTTTTTTTTTAAGAATATTGTACTATATTTTTAAAAAGGAAATGAATATATATTGATTGCATTTTATATACATTTATGTGTTGAAAGTTTAAGCTAATATTTTATGCTTCATAATTAATGAATTTTTAATCTTTGATTAAACAACATATCATGGCAATGATGTCATTTAGAGCCCCACTCAGAATAGGGCAGAAAGGTTTTAACTATTTTGTGCTGTATAAGTACGGACTTTATGCTGTATTTATGCATATCAGTCATTGAAATCACGTTCATAAGTGATTGAAAGAAAGTTATATGGCTCAAAATAGAATAAGAACATTTGATCACTTATTTTCACTTAAATTCTGGATTTATTTTGCAGAGTGTCCCAGTAATTTGCTGCTGTAAAGTGTTTCATTTTAGAGCAGGTTGACTGAATAGCTAGTTTAGAAAAGAAAAGAGGGCTGAATTAATTTCTGGTTATTATACTCTTGTTCTTTGTTATTCAAAAAGTTATTGGTTTAAATTTTAAGGGGAAAAGTAATTTGCTAGGGAAATCTAAATCCAGTATCTGAAATGATCTAATATCCAAACTTACAGGCCGTCAGCTGAAAAATAAATAAATAAAAAGGAATAATGAAGTAAAATTTTCCTCCCATATAAAATTTAGGAATGGAGAATGTAATACTCAACAACAGAAAAAAAAAAAAAAAAATTTGCGATTTTTCTCCTGTTTAACAGAGTCTTTCATGTTAAAAAAACACTACTGTCTAGGGAGTTGAACCATAGCCAATAACAATGTGTAGATTGACATTATGTGATGTTGGCCAGGATCACACGTGCAGCCTTTGAGATGTAGTTGGGAGGCAGACAGGATTGGGCTATGCCGTTTGCACCCAGTGCAGTCATTACAGGTCCTAAATTATGCTGCCTAGTGTCTCTCCTAAATTTTAAATATTTTTCCGTACCTGATTTTTGCTTCTTGGTACTTCTCAAAATTCTAAAATTTCTGCTGCTTCTAAACTTTGTTGCCTGGTATGGACTTCATTTTTGTTCTTGAAGGAATTAAATAATCAATTGCTGGCTTCCAGAAACGCTTTTTTTTTTTTTTTTTTTTTTTTTTTTTTTTTTTAATCATTTCTCCATCTGCAAAAGGTATCTTGTTTTGCTAGTGCATGGCTTACATGAAAAGATGCAAATGTTGCAGCTTTAGATAAGTATTGGGTTTAATAAAATATGCCTGTTGTCTGATTAATTGCAATTTAAATTATTTAAACCTTGTTTACACAATTTATTTTTTAATGAAAATCTGTATCAAAACTTCCATGTATGCTTTTGAAATGCCTTTCAACGTTCTCTTTTTTTGGAAGTATCACACTTGCATGACATGGATAGCACACACATTTTGCATTCGCTATTGTAAAGAAAAACTGCACCTACCAATCTGTATTAAAATTGTATGTTTTTCTTTTCTTAACACTTTTTTTCGACATTGTACTCCTTTTTAAAAATATGATGTACAGTCAAAAGTCGTTAATTCGGACACCCATAATCCGGAATGATCTATAATCTGGACCTCAAAGCTACAAACTTTCTGCGCATGCATCGCGTTGACGCATGCGCACAGGCGTTTTACGAGTGCGCGTAAGACCTTTACGGCTGCGAATATGTTTTTGCGCATGCGCGTTTAATGTGTAACGAACGGTATAATCTAAGCAAAAATTATTTAATTCAGTTAATGTTGCAGATTGCGTTGTTCCTTAATCTTCGAATTGGATCCAGCTTATTATTTTTTGCGGACTGTTAGAGCAATTTCATAAAAGTAAGCTTGAACTTTCGATTATGTCAAATAGAATTTCCGATATATATTTACTAATACGAGGGCCATCCAGGAAGTAGATTACGTTTCCGTCTGTGTCCGCTAGGGGCGGGGCTAGCGCGGCCATCTTGGGGTCAGAGCGTTGCGCAGCTCAGTCTGCATCTAGCCGTGCTAGTGAGAGGTTCGTGCTGTGCTCCGTTCAGATACTGTGACGGTTTGAAATGTCTGCGTTAATTGAAAATCCCGCGAGCTGCGAGGTGCGCTCAGTAATAAGGTTTCTGACTGCAAAAAACTGTAAACCGATAGAAATCTATCGGCAGCTTCGTGAAGTGTATGGGGACAACATTATCACTGAAGGTGGAGTGCGTCAGTGGGTCATAAGATTTCAAAATGGCCGAACCAATGTTCACGACGAAGATCGAAGTGGGAGACCCAGCATAGTGACCGCCGAACTTCTCGAAAAAGTCGATGCTAAAGTCCGTGAAAATCGAAATTTCACAATAACGGAACTTTCTTTGAGTTTTCCACAAATTCGCGAAGTTTGTTGCACGAAATCATCAGCGAAAAGCTTGGTTACCACAAGTTTTGTGCAAGATGGAAGGCAAGAAGAGGTAACGAAGTGGTTGAAGGCGCAGGCGGCCGAATTTTTCGACGAAGGAATTTCCAAGCTCGTACATCGCTACGATAAATGCCTTAATTTGTATGGTGACTATGTAGAAAAGTAGTATTTGAGTGTGGCTTTCATCTGTATATAATAAAATTTGTTTCCTATACTTTGTTTATTTTTTTATTCCAAAACGTAATCTACTTTCTGGATAGCCCTCGTATGTAATTTGTATCTACAAAGCAAAAGTATGTTTTGAAATCCGAAATCTGTTTATCAATTTCACGCTGCAGATTGGAAGTTGATCTGTCAGCACTATCCTTATCTTCAGGGCAGAGGTTTTTATTTTATTTGGCTTATAATTCCTTACTAAGTGTAGTATTTCATCTCGGACCCACAGGTTATTGAAAACGAAAACATTTCGATTGACAAATTAGTCGGTATTCTCGACACAGCAATTATAGGACTTGAACAGCGGAACTTTGTAACTAAACAAGAAATTATGTCTGTTTAATAGAATTAAAGAGAAAGTATTATCACATAAAACGAAGCAACATTTAATAAAATGAACAAATAAATATTAAGCTTTTTTTTTTTTTTTTTTTTTTGTAAATTTTGATACCCTTTAGATCATAATTGTTCTTTATTTCATATATTACGGTTTCATATTTTTAATTTTGTAATTTCTGCATGCCATCTTACCAAATTGAAACTGATGATCTATAATCCGAAAAAATCGATAATCCGGAATCGCCGAAGTCCCGACGAGTCCGGATTAACAACTTTTGACTGTATTACCATTTTTACTATAAAAACACAAGTAACAGAAAATTGTCAAGTTGAATGTTTGAAGAAGTTAAGCGACTGCTAGATCATGGAGCGGGGATGTATTCAATGCAGCAAACATGTGTGAACCAGTGAATTAGGTCTTATTAAAGCTGGTCACCCCAAAATGTCTTGATGGTTCACCAGTTGATTGTAAATGACTTAATGCTCACTGCTGGTCTAAATAATTACAGTTCCCCATAGTAATGCAGAGTGTGAGAGGATTTTTCAGTGTAGTTACTAAGATAAGGACTAAATTTAGATCTAGTATTAGTAATAAGATATTAGAAAACTTTTATTAGCAAAAGCAGGGCAAGTAATAAAAATAATTTCTTACATGTAAGTACAGTAGAAGTCCAGAAACCCGCAAAGCTTGGGACCAGAGGTTGTGCGGATTTCAGGACAGAAAAGATAAATCGTAATATTCGGACTAAAAGTGCAAAATAAATAAGATTTAATTATTAGATACATTTAATTAAATTATTATATGCATTATTACAATAATGTATTATATGCATTAAATTATTATTACATACTATATAAATTGATTATATTATATTATTCATTGTATTATATGTACAAGACAGCATCGAGGTTTGCCGATTTCGCCTCATGCAAAGATTTTCGGTATTAGAATCACTGTTGCTGTAAAATTTCAGCAGCTTTTCTTTATTTTTCCATACATCATACACAGTGCATGTCACAATTCCATACGATTCTGCTATAAACAAAGGAGTAGCACCTGCCTTCATTTTTTGCAGAATTTCCACTTTTTGCATTACTGTCAATGCAATGTGTTTACGTTTTTCAATGTTGCAAGCAGTAAAATCATGAGTACGTTTCTTATATGTCACTGTATTAAAAAGTGCTGAAATTTAAAATATTCTTAATTTATCCACAAAATATCCGGATAAAAAATACGGCAGCACTAAACAATCTCTTGAAATAACAAAGCTCAGAAAATACATAAACGTAAATCGTGAACTTGAAAGAAGAGTGAATCGTCTGCTTTCTTACCTTGATGCAAAGATTGGAGGGAAAAAACTTTTATCATGATGTCAATAATTTGGTATTATGACTCATTATTATTCAGTAATTATGATGTCATTATTTGTTAAGTATTTTTTATTCGATATTTCGTACTCCATGTTGACCTATAAACTGAATGTTTATATTTTGAGAGGCAACACGGATTTCAGGAGTTGGCAAATTTCGGGTCGGCAGATTTTTGGTATTTGACTGTATTTTTGTACTGTTAGCATTTAAGAATTAGTAACTGAACATTCAGATATAAATTAGTTAATTCATTATTAACTAATTTTATATTAGTTAATAATGAATTAATATTATAATATATATTTTTATCATTTAAAATTAATATTAAATTAAATATATTTTTATCATTTAAAAAAATCTTTCTGTTGTTAAGAAGAAAGAAGAAAATTTAATTTCAGTACTCTTAAAATCATTAATTGGCAATCTGACATATCTAAAAAAGCTATTTTAAATACTATTTGCACTCTTAAACATAAAAAAATATTTGGAATGATATAATTCTTTTTCAAGAAATTCAATTTTTAATAAATCTTCTTGCTGATAATGGAATTTCTGAAAATAAAAATGCACCAAA